ACAAAAGGAAATGCATCATGTGACTTCAGCATTACTCTGTGTCATCACGTGTCTAGTGCAGCTGTCATCGTCGTCGTTTTCTTCTTCCGCTTATCCGGGTCCGGGTCACGGGGGTAGCATCCCAACTAGGGAGCTCCAGACCGTCCTCTCCCCAGCCACCTCCACCAGTTCCTCCGGCAGGACCCCAAGGTGTTCCCGGACCAGATTGGAGATGTAACCTCTCCAAAGTGTCCTGAGTCGACCCGGGGGCCTCCTGCCAGCAGGACATGCCCGAAACACCTCCCCAGGGAGGCATCCTGACCAGATGCTCAAACCACCTCAACTGGCTCCTTTCGATCTGGAGGAGCAGCGGTTCTACTGCGAGTCCCTCCCTAATATCCGAGCTCTTCACCCTATCTCTAAGACTGAGCCCGCCCACCCTACGGAGGAAACTCATTTTGGCCGCTTGTATCCGCGATCTCGTTCTTTCGGTCTTTACCCAAAGCTCATGACCATAGGTGAGGATTGAGACGTAGATCGACCGGTAAATCGAGAGCCTGGCTTTCTGGCTCAGCTCCCTCTTCACCACGACAGATCGGCTCAGTGTCCGCATCACTGCAGATGCTGAACCAATCCGCCTGTCGATCTCCCGATCCCTCCTACCCTCACTCGTGAACAAGACCCTGAGATACTTAAACTCCTCCACCTGAGGTAGGGCCTCAAGTGGAGGTGCTGATCCTCATCCCAGCCGCTTCACACTCGGCCGCGAACCTACCCAGCAAGAGCTGAAGGTCAGAGCTGGATGAAGCTAGGAGGACCACATTATCTGCAAAAAGCAGAGACGAGATTCTCCTGCCACCAAACCTGACACACTCCACACCACGGCTGCGCCTAGAAATTCTGTCCATAAAGGTTTTGAACAGAACCGGTGACAAAGGGCAGCCCTGGCGGAGTCCAACCCTCACCGGGCACAGGTCCGACTTACTGTTGGCTATGCGGACCAAAATCACGCTCCTCTGGTAAATGGACTGAATGGCCCTTAACAGAAAGCCACCCACCCCATACTCCTGGAGCGTCCCCCACAGGGTGCCCCTGGGGACACGGTCATAAGCCTTCTCCAAATCCACAAAACACATGTGGATTGGTTGGGCAAACTCCCGTGCCCCCTCCATCACCCTTGCAAGGGTATAGAGCTGGTCCACAGTTCCACGGCCAGGACGAAAACCACATTGCTCCTCCTCAATCTGAGATTCAACTATCGATCGGACCCTCCTCTCCAGTACCTTGGAGTAGACCTTTCCAGGGAGGCTGAGGAGTGTTATCCCCCTATAGTTGGAACACACCCTCAGGTCACCCTTCTTAAAGATGGGGACCACCACCCCGGTCTGCCACTCCACAGGAACTGTACCCAATGACCAAGCAATGTTGCAGAGACGTGTCAACCACGACAGCCCTACAACATTCATAGCCTTGAGATATCCAGGACGAATCTCATCCACCCCAGGGGCTCCGCCGCTGTGTAGTTGTTTGACTACCTCAGCAACTTCTGCCCCAGAGATTGGACAGTCCATCCCCAGGTCTCCCGGCTCTGGCTCCTCCTCGGAATGTGCGTAGGTGGGATTGAGGAGCTCCTCAAAGTATTCCTTCCACCGTCCGACTATAGCCCCATTTTACGTCAGCAGCTCCCCATCCCCATTGTAAACAGTGTGAGCGAGTTGCTGCCTCCCTCTTCTGAGGCGCCGGACAGTTTGCCAGTACTTCTTTGTTGCCGATCGATAGTCTTTGTCCATGGCCTCACCAAACTCATCTCATGCCTGAGATTTTGCCTCGGCAACTGCCACTGCTGCACCCCGCTTGGCTATCCGGTACCTGTCTGCTGCCTCCGGAGACCCACAGACCAGCCACACCCTGTAGGCCTCCTTCCTCAGCCTGATGGCTTCCCGAACCTCTGGTGTCCTCCAGCGGGTACGGGGGTTGCCACCACGACTGGCACTGGCCACCTTGCGACCACAGCTATCAACAGCCGCCTCAACAATCACAGAGTGGAACAAGGCCCACTCGGAGTCGATGTTCCCCACTGTTCTCCGGAGGTGGTAGTTGAAGACCGTCTTGACAGGTTCTTCTGCCAAGCATTCCCAGCAGACCCTCCCTATGCGTTTGGGTCTGCCAGGTCTACACAGCATCTTCCCCTGCCATCTGATCCAACTCACCATCAGGTGGTGATCAATTGACAGCTCTGCTCCTCTCTTCACTCGGGTGTCCAAAACATATGGCCGCAGGTCAGATGATACGACTACAAAGTCTATCATCGACCTGCAACCTAGGCTGCCCTGGTACCAAGTGTACCGATGGGCATCCTTATGTTCGAACATGGTGTTCATTATGGCCAATAACGAAACATCACTTGAGTTCAGATCAGGCGGGCCGTTCCTCCCAATCACACCCCTCCAAGTCATGCTGTCATTGCCCACGTGAGTATTGAAGTCCCCCAGCAGGACAATGGAGTCCCCTGATGGAGCACTATCTAGCACTCGTCCCAGGGACTCCAAAAAGGGTGGGTAATCTGAACTGATATTTGGCACATAAGCACAAACAACAGTCAGGACCCGTTCCCCGACCCGAAGGCGCAGGGAAGCTACCCTCTCGTCCCCCGGGGTAAACCCCAACACACAGGCAGAGAGTCTTGGGGCTAACAAAAAGCCAACCCCAGCCCTCCACCTCTCACCCGGAGCAACTCCAGCAAAGGAGAGTGTCCAACCCCTTTCAAGGACTTAAGTTCCAGAGCCAATGCTATGTGTCGAGGTGAGTCCAACTATATCTAGCCGGTACCGCTCAACCTCTGCCACAAGCTCCTGCTCCTTCCCCGCCATCAAGGTGAGGTTCCATGTCCCAATAACCAGTTTCCTTGTCCGGGGATCGGACCGCCAAGGCTCCCGCCTCTTTCTGCCACCCGATCCACACTACACCGGACCCTTCATGTTCCTCCTGCGGGTGGTGGGTCCAGAGTTGGATGAGTCCATGTATCCGGTTCAGGCTGGGCCCGGCTGGGCCCCATGGGCGAAAGCCCGGCCACCCGGCGCTCACCCACCGGCCCCAACCCCAGGCCTGGCTCTAGGGTGGGACTACGGTAACCCTCCTGGCCGGGTACTCTGACTCTTTGTTTTTACGTCCATGAAAGCTCATCTGAACCGTTCTTTGTCTCACCCTTCACCTAAGACCCATTTGTCATGGGAGACCCTACCAAAGTGCCACAGACAACATAGCTCCTACGATCATTAGGGCACTCAAACTCCTCCACCACAGTAAGGTGACGGTTCAGGGAGGAGTGCAGCTGTCCCAAGATTATAATTACTTGTAAAATACTACTGATCACAGAATTATAATATCAAGTAATATCATTGTCATTTCACAGATTAATTGAACATTGGGCTCACATTATTATTGGCAATAACAAATGATGTTTCATTATGTATTTATCAAAAGAGTTCTCCGTCTTGTCTCGAGCTGTAAAGAGGTGAAGCAGTTCAAATGAGCCGAGGCATGAAAGGCCTTGGCTAGGGCTGTAGCGAAGCCCCGATGACGTAGAAGGCTCGATTCTAAAAATTCATCAACGTCAGATCCGGTAGTCGACGCACCACACCTACTTTTTGCATCCCCAGGAGTTTGTAACTAGAGGAGGAATCTGCCTGTTTCTCCTCTAGTTTGCCCTCTTCTCCGTCTTCACTAACATCTCCACCAAATACCGAAGACCCGGAACAACGTCCGTCCGCTACTAGATTCCTTTCCTGTTTTGCCCGCCTTCATCTCCTGGCAATGGACAACAACTTCCGGGGTCAGATGTGCTGCTTCGTCTCTACCGCAGATGTAGAAAATCACCGGGAGCGTTTCTCCCTTCATAAAGGAGCTTCTTTCAGATATTAGGAGAGCTGTTTTGGTGGTAGCAGTCTCTCCTCCGTGCTGGTCTGTTTGCTGCTGGGTATTTTTGGTTTATTTAAACTTGGTAACTTGAAATTAACGTTGGTAAAGCTACTGTTAGCATCTTCGCTAACAGCTTCTTGCGTTTGGATAAGCTGTTACGGTTTGGTTTAGAGTTCATTTTTTTGTGGTGCAGATCTCCCTTTTATTACATTTAGAGTGTTGTGGGTTTTCGGTTTAGTTTAAAATATCACCTTGAGTTTGGTGTAACCGCCCAGTTTAGAGTTTGGACCTTTGGAGATCCTTATTTTGGTCCAGAACCCAGTAATCTTTGCCCAGCGGGACACCCCTACTTATTTGTACTTTTGTTTTAAGTCCCCACAGGCAGAATTAGTTTTATTATTCCCAACCTGTGGATGGAAAGATTTATGTTTTTTTGTAGTTTTAAATAAACCTGATCATCATTTTAACTTTTAAATCCCACATTACTGTCCCTTCCTTTTTGCACACGAGCCAAACTCCCCAGGAAGGGTCGTAACACCACTCGCCTCACGCACATAAGTGACCAAATCAAAGCAGCATGGAGACACTCCGTCTCCAACCACCTCTCAGGCAACAGCCTGCTCTCCCAAGTTCTACATGTCACCAGAACATAACCAACCAACACAATAAAAGCAGTGTTATACAAAATGGAAGGCCTGTAGTGTTTATTCTCTTACAGTAACAATTTATCACTTTTTTTGAGGAATTTATTAGAGATTTTTTGGTTTTTATCAACTGTGCAATAAAAAAATAATCATTAGATTAATTGTCTAAATAGTCATTAGAATAGTTGACTATTCGATAAAATAATCGTCAGAATAATCGTTTACCCCCAGCCCTAGCCTTAGCCAACATCTCATGTAGATTAGGCCTGTGTCAGAGACATTATGTCTCCACTCGGGCAGACGCAGCAGAGCAGGACCTTTAGGTCAAAAACAGGACATTCATGACGCTACACACTGGTCATCTTAAACAGATTTGAGACTTTCTCCCTGAGGCTGGTGCAGTTCTGCTCATCATTGTTCTAAATACATCAGCAATGGTTTCTGGTGTGCAGGTCTTACCTGTTCGAGCCAGAGGGAGTAGCACCTTCAAAGCCTGCAGATGCAGCTCAAGGCTGTCGGAGAACCTCTGCAGAGCTGAAAGAACCACTGTGTGGTCCTGGTTCTCCACAAACTCCACAAGGTGCTCATCACTTACTGGAAACACACATGTAAACATCAACAAAAGGAAACAAAAAGGTCTGGTGAATTTGGAGAATTAAAACCCTAACCTAATAACTAATCACACTCCTCTTGGTCTGAATGCTTTATATTCTAGTCAGTTGTGGCTCTGCAGAACTCTGTAGGTGTGTATGAGATGGTTATCATCTGGCAGATAAACTAAATAGTGCAGCAGAAAAAGCAGGGCTATATCTGTCGTGCATAGATGCATCTGTTCACCTCTGTCCAGCAGCAGCTGCAGAGCTACACAGCCTTGGAGCTGCACCTCCTCACTGGTAGGAAAAGTCTTCATCACCCGCACCACCAGGCTGAAGACATCCTCCTCCTCCTCCAGCACCAGCAGAGGAATCGTGTCTGCCCGATGAATGAAAAAGGACATCAAAAATAACTAAATAATGCACCGGTGCCAACACATTTCACACAAACAAACCAGGGGAGGAGTAAATGCATGTGTGTTAAACATCTTAGATTTCATGTATACAATGTTTTACACCAAACATTTTAGAACCATCAGGAGTTTGTTTTTCCTAAAATACTTGCTTGTGAGGCCGTATTAAGTAACACACTTAATAAATCAACAGCTATAATCAGCTGTGTTGAGCTCTTCAGAACAACAGTTTCCTGTCACATTCTGTTTATCCCATTCATAAACCTTTAACATTAACATTTCTCACCATTGTCTATTCAAAAGTTCTCCTATTAGAGAGAAATTATATATTTTCATATAATAAAACGTGGTCGACCCTCCATAGTTATGAGGTATCTGGAAATTTGGTAGCTTGTTTAGGGGCATACGAGACATAATGCTCGGCGTTTCGTGTTTGAGCTTTGACGTGATGCAACCTGAACGACACAGCAGAGGGGAGCGGTGCGCCCTGGGAGCATGCAGTCTGCCAAATCAACCCCCAACATCCACACTTCCACCCTCGTGCCCTTAAATTACACAGTCCTGACCAGGGGCGCATAGTGTGTCCCGATTCTCAAGTGCGGAAGGTGAAGGTAAAGGTAAAGAAGATGAAGATGAAGGTGAAGATGGCTCAAATGCATTTTCAGATGAAAGAAGTTCAGTTTAGGAAGATGAATGATATTTATTCATGCTCTGAATGTTTTAGACTAAGGTTTAATGTGAACAGCAATGAATCCAGTTTTGTGTTAAATAATTGCTTGTTTGAAAGTTGTTAATAAAGACTTTTTAAAAAGTAGCACGGACAGCAACCAGCATGCTGGCCTGTGTCTCGCTCGATGACGCAAAGCTCATGGTCCCGATTCAGCACACTTGTGTACCACGCACGTGAACCCTTACTGAACACTTGCTGTACTCAGTTTGAACAACATTGGTGACATAGTTACGTTTGATGCCTGTGGACCACTGTAGCTCCAACAGGGAGCCTAAGTCTCCTCCTCTTCTGGTCCCAGGAACACAGAAAAGTTAACATAAGTGAATTCATGTTGAATTTGCATTTCAAAAATGCCCTGATGACACCATGGATAAAGGTACGCCTTTATGCAGGCCTCCACTGCTTTTATGTGGCATGCATCACACTGCGACGCCTACTATTTTTAACTGAACTTTACCTATGTTGCTATTTTTGGTATTGTTTATAAGCTTTGTGTGATGATCGCTGCCTATCTTGAACAGATCTCCCTTGAAATAAAGAGATTTTTAAACTCTGTGGGATTTTCTTCCAGGTTAAATAAATAAAAAATAAAAAAATTTGATGAAAAGAAGCTGTACGAGAATAGGATGAAGGCTTTTCTCAGCAAATTTAAGGGTTAGAAAAGATAACATTTATTACAGTTCATAATAAAATAGTTCCTTTTTTAATTTAAAGCACCACTTTGTTTCATTTTGATTCCAAACTTTTTTAGATTTAGGTTTCTATATTTAAGTTAAATGATAAATATTTAGATTTGATTTTAAATATTACATTTGATCATTATTGTTTAAAACTAAAACTGCATATTTTTTTATTTTTTAATGTTCTGCTTTACAACCTAAGCCTCTGACTTTCACAGCTGCTTTTTAATAAATGCAGTTTCTCACCACACACACACACACACACACACACACACACACACACACACACACACACACACACACACGTTATAAAAGAAACGTTCCTCCCTGAAACAGGACGTTTCTACGGTTGAACTGCTCGGTCCATCAGGACTGAACAGTGTTGGGCAAGTTACTTCAAAACTGTAATGCATTATTTATTACTTGTTACCCTCATTTTAAAGTAATTCATTACATTACAATATTACTGATTTTAAATTGTAAGGCATTACACTACTTTTGCATTACTTTAAGTTACTTTCACCAAAACAACTTCAATATGAATCTGGTAATGTGACGCTCAGTGAGCTCATGACATATATGTGGAAGGTGATGTGGTGTCTGAGCTAGGATTGCTGTTAAAAACAGTCAGATATAATAACAGTGCTTTAAAATGATTGTTTATTAAATAAAAGCAACAACAAACTGTACTCTCAGCACGCTGCCATCTCATATTAACTGATCAGGGAGTGAGGTGGTGGGGGCTCCAAGCCTATATTTGCCTTGGTCCTCAAATGCCTTGATACGGCCCTGGATGTGGGACTGACTTCTGGGGTGATCTGATTCTATCACTAGTATGAATATTAAAATGCTTATATATTATTGCTTTTCACAGGTAAAAATGTGTATTGGGGACAAATCTACCTACTTTTTTCTTTTTTTCTTGATTTTATTTGAATAAATTCCTGCCCTTTCTCTCTCTAACCTTCCTGCATGCTGCATGTTTTCTCCGTCTTCCAGAAAAAAACTGTTTCCTAGACTTCCTACTTTCTATCAGCCAAAGGGATCTTCACATGCGCGGCGCTCCAGCAGCAATGAGTTGAAATCACCGGGGCACAGATTATGAACTCAGCTGAGGCAAAGCACAAAATACCAGAGAACATGCGCTGATATATATGAACGATCGCAAGTGAATTATTTTGTTTTAGTGGAGCGATTTTGTGAATGTTGCAGCGGCCGCGGGCAGAACGCAGCTGGAGTAGTTGAGCCGTTACCGCGGCGTCCTCTCTGCCCGCAAAGCTGAGTCCATAAATGACGTAATATATGCAGATACTGGATCTTTCTTCGGGTTTCCCGCAATTTGAATTTTTAAGGAACATATCTTGATTCTGGGTTTAAAAATGCATTGTAATAACCACGTTACTGACAATTGTACCGAGTAAATATTACCATTTTCATTCCCTGTAATGCCTTACATTACCACATTACAGCAAAAAGCAATGCATTACAGTAATTAATTACTTTTGTACCGCATTACTCCTGACACTGGGACTGAACCACACAAAGCTTTGTGAAAGAAGAAACCAGGGAACTTCCCTCGGAGACACGCAGAGGTCATTCTGGAAAAGAGGCTGAAGTGTTTTGCTAAAAATAGATGATCACTCCAGTTGAACTGGAAGAGGGAAACTCCACATTCCAGTCATGCAACACGCGTCTACGCACAGCCACGAGACAACCGGTTGGACGGGATCATTCAGCAGCTGTTCCTTTAGGGTTTGCTAGTTTTCCTAGAGAGGATGTGCATTTCACTTCTGATTTATGACTACTTCTGAACACAAGAAGTTTTAATCCCATTATAATGCACTCTGGGAGGAAACATGCAGACTGACAGCAGCTGCTGGAGTTTACCTGCAGCGCGACAGTGACAGGTAGTTGCTTGTGCCAGTGCCATGCGCAGCAGGGGAAATCACCTGATCTGAGCAGCAGGCCCAGTGCTCGGAGGCCAACCACGATCACTCCGCAGTCTGAGCTGTACCGAGTCAGCACCTTCAGGATCAGTCTGGAAAATAAATCAGGACAGGAAGAAACCTGATCACAGCTGCTTCATCAAAGGTTTGAACACAGTCATGGGAAATGGCCAGATTGACCTGTTAGCCCAGAGCTAGTTATTTACAACACATTGCTAATGAAACCAGAAAATACAGCAGCTCTATGTGTCTAAAGCGGGGTGGAGAACAGCTCTCCTAAAAGAGCCAACAGAAACAGCATGCTAGCTGCTTCTGCTATAATGTTTATAAAAGCATCATCAGAAAAAGCAGTGCTGTTAACATGTCACACGGTGCGGGCGAGTTGAGGTTGAGGTGAGGATCCAAGGTGCAGGGGAAAAAGGCAGGCAGGAACATTCAGAAAAGGCTTTAATGAGGAGCAAGCGAGACACTGAAACAGTGAACAGACGAAGAACATAGAACTGGGAGGGATCAGATACAGGAAGAACTGGGAGACGAAAGGCAGGTGGGAGCAATTAGTAAAGACTCAGGACTGAACAGAGACTGGAGACAGGACAGATTGTGACATAGCAGACACATGAGGAGCCACTATTAAAGGGATAAACCTATCCCTGATATAGGAGCTTCTCAGCTCATAGCAGCCTGAGTGGGGAGGTGGGTATGGCTAGCTCCAGCTCGTTTTCTTAAAGTGACAGAGCCCTGAAACGGATCATTCTGGAAGGTACTGAAACTGTCAAGAATAAAACTGCTGGTGTTGCTCGATGTGACAGGGATTTAGTGCAAGACTGTCATAAACATGTTTTGTATCAACCATCCGTTTTCGGCCACTTATCTGGGGTCGGGTCACGGGGGCCAGTAGCCTAAGAAGGGAGGCCCAGACTTCCCTCTCCCCAGCCACTTGGGCCAGCTCCTCCTGGGGAATCCCTGGCCAGCCATGAGACACAGTCCCTCCAGCGTGTCCTGGGTCTACCTTTAGGTCTCCTCCCGGTTAGACGTGCCCAGAAAACCTCACCAAAGTCAAGGAGGCCTCCTGACCAGATGCCCGAGCCACCTCAAATTATTATAACTTCATAAAAAAACATAATTAAATGTCCCCTTTAAGATTTTCAGCTAATGTTTCTAAAATTGGATCCCCTCTCAGAGGCAGATTCTAAAACATGGAGGCAAAAGGCCACTCATCCTGGTTCTGGTTGCGCTGAAGGTCCAGTCTTGAACTTTCGCCACGTGCTTGCTCAAGATGTTGGGTTGGGTTGGAGGGAAGTTGGGTTCAATCTGCTGCTGTTGTTTATTAAATCAGGGGTGAACTAAGCTGGTCTGAACTGGATAACAGAGTCCAGGTCAGTCTGTGGTGGGACCAGGAGGACCTCCATGTTACCAGAGTCTCTGACTTGTGAACATGCAGGTGACACCACCAGACCAACCAGTCTTCACTTACTGGTGCACTGCCAGGATCTCCCAGTCCACGGCTGCCTCCAGAGGTTGGCTGAGATGCTCCAGCGTTCTGGGACATATTTCAATCAGCTTACACAGCAGCAACCAGCCCTCCTGTCCAAACAAAAACCTCACGTTTGATTTGAACAATAACAATCAAACTGACACGTAATGAGAGCAGAATCAGATGAAACACATTCTAGAGGCATGTTGAGAGCAGTCATTCCTGTCTGAACACATATTCCATCCCATAATGTGGCTTTCAGTTTTAACATGCTGTAAACTTCTCATAAGCCAGAACGCATTACAGTCACAAGACGTCATAAACACGGTGGATCGGGTGGACGGGCCACTGGCGGTTACTTTTTAACCACATTAAGCACGAACAACCTCCTCCTGTAAGGGGGGGGGGGGGCAGATTACCTGCTGGACTCCTTTGCTGCTGATGTAAGATGACAGCACCGTCACGAGGGGAAGGTGAACGTTCTTGTCCTCAAACAGCTCAGCTGCTGCAACAAAGATCAGCAAAAGAGACAACATGTGATAAACCGGAGCACCTATTTTTGTTTTAAATGGCCATGAAAACACACGTGAATAGAACACCTAAGAACACGTGAATAGAACTCATGAAAAGAACACGTGAATAGAACATGTAAGAACACGTGAATAGAACACGTAAGAACACGTAAATAGAACACGGGAATAGAACACGTGAATAGAACACGTGAATAGAACACGTAAGAACACGTGAATAGAACATGTAAGAACACGTGAATGGAACACGTAAGTACACGTGAATAGAACACGGGAATAGAACACGTGAATAGAACACATAAGAACACGTGAATATAACATGTGAATAGAAAACGTAAGAACACGTGAATAGAACATGTAAGAACATGTGAATAGAACACATAAGAACACGTGAATATAACATGTGAATAGAACACGTAAGAACAGGTGAATGGAACACGTAAGAACACGTGAATAGAACACATAAGAACACGTGAATAGAACACGTAAGAACACGTGAATAGAACACGTGAGTAGAACACGTAAGAACATGTGAATAGAACACGTAAGAACACGTGAATAGAACACGGGAATAGAACACGTGAATAGAACACGTAAGAACACGTGAATAGAACACGTGAATAGAACACGTGAATAGAACACGTAAGAACACGTAAATAGAACACGTAAGAACACGTGAATAGAACACGGGAATAGAACACGTGAATAGAACACGTAAGAACACGTGAATAGAACACGTAAGAACACGTGAATAGAACACATAAGAACACATGAATAGAAAACGTGAATAGAACACGTAAGAACAAGTGAATAGATAAATAGAACACGTAAGAACACGTGAATAGAACACGTAAGAACACATGAATAGAACAAGTGAATAGACCATGTAAGAACACGTGAATAGAACATGTAAGAACATGTAAGAAAACGTAAGAACACGTGAATAGAACACGTGAATAGAACACGTAAGAACATGTAAGAACACGTGAATAGAACATGTGAATAGAACACGTAAGAACACATGAATAGAACACGTAAGAACATGTAAGAACACGTGAATAGAACACGTAAGAACACGTGAATAGAACATGGGAATAGGACACGTGAATAGAACACATAAGAACACGTGAATAGAACATGTGAATAGAACACGTAAGAACACGTGAATAGAACACGTAAGAACACGTGAATAGAACACGTAAGAACACGTGAATAGAACACGTAAGAACACGTGAATAGAACACGTGAGTAGAACACGTAAGAACACGTGAATAGAACACGTAAGAACACCTGAATAGAACACGGGAATAGAACACGTGAATAGAACACGTAAGAACATGTGAATAGAACACGTAAGAACACGTGAATAGAACACGGGAATAGAACACGTGAATAGAACACGTGAATAGAACACGTAAGAACACGTGAATAGAACACATAAGAACACGTGAATAGAACACGTGAATAGAACACATAAGAACACATGAATAGAACACGTGAATAGAACACGTAAGAACACGTGAATAGATGAATAGAACACGTAAGAACACGTGAATAGAACACGTAAGAACACATGAATAGAACAAGTGAATAGAACATGTAAGAACACGTGAATAGAACACGTAAGAACATGTAAGAAAATGTAAGAACACGTGCATAGAACACGTGAATAGAACACGTAAGAACATGTAAGAACACATGAATAGAACACGTGAATAGAACACGTAAGAACACGTGAATAGAACACGTAAGAACATGTAAGAACACGTGAATAGAACACGTAAGAACACGTGAATAGAACATGTGAATAGAACACATAAGAATATGTGAATAGAACACATAAGAACACATGAATAGAACAAGTGAATAGAACATGTAAGAACACGTGAATAGAACACGTAAGAACATGTAAGAAAACGTAAGAACACGTGAATAGAACACGTAAGAACATGTAAGAACACGTGAATAGAACACGTGAATAGAACACGTAAGAACACGTGAATAGAACACGTAAGAACATGTAAGAACACGTGAATAGAACACGTAAGAACACGTGAATAGAACACGTGAATAGAACACATAAGAATATGTGAATAGAACAAGTAAGAACACGTGAATAGAACACGTAAGAACACGGGAATAGAACACATAAGAACACGGGAATAGAACACGTAAGAACACGTGAATAGAACACGTAAGAACACATGAATAGAACACATAGGAACACGTGAATAGAACACGGGAACAGAACACGTAACAACACGTGAATAGAACAGGTGAATATAACACATAAGAACATGTGAATAGAACACGTAAGAACATGTAAGAACACGTAAGAACACATGAATAGAACACGTGAATAGATCACATAAGATCACGTGAATAGAACACGTAAGAACAAGTGAAAAGAAAATGTAAATAGAACACGTGAATAGAACACGTAAGAACATGTAAGAACACGTGAATAGAACATGTAAGAACACGTGAATAGAACATGTGAATAGAACACATAAGAATATGTGAATAGAACACGTAAGAACACATGAATAGAACAAGTGAATAGAACATGTAAGAACACGTGAATAGAACACGTAAGAACATGTAAGAAAATGTAAGAACACGTGAATAGAACACGTAAGAACATGTAAGAACACGTGAATAGAACACGTGAATAGAACACGTAAGAACACGTGAATAGAACACGTAAGAACATGTAAGAACACGTGAATAGAACACGTAAGAACACGTGAATAGAACACGTGAATAGAACACATAAGAATATGTGAATAGAACAAGTAAGAACACGTGAATAGAACACGTAAGAACACGTGAATAGAACACATAAGAACACGGGAATAGAACACGTAAGAACACGTGAATAGAACACGTAAGAACACATGAATAGAACACATAGGAACACGTGAATAGAACACGGGAACAGAACACGTAACAACACGTGAATAGAACACGTGAATATAACACATAAGAACATGTGAATAGAACACGTAAGAACATGTAAGAACACGTAAGAACACATGAATAGAACACGTGAATAGATCACATAAGATCACGTGAATAGAACACGTAAGAACAAGTGAAAAGAAAATGTAAATAGAACACGTGAATAGAACACGTAAGAACATGTAAGAACACGTGAATAGAACACGTGAATAGGACACGTAAGAAAGGTTTATTGCAATCATAGACATCTATGAGTATATTTTGAATGAATAAATGAATCTAACCACACACTCTGATTAGAAACTATTCAATAAGAACTGACTCTAATAAATAAAGCTGATTTATTGAACAGAGAGGTAAAACTACCTTTAAGAGCATTGCTTTCTGCTGCTTTTCTGTATTAAAGGTGCTGAGACCAGAGTTAGTCCTGTTCTTGACGCTATCGGGACTTTAGTCCTTTTTTAAACACCACAGCTTTAAAAAGACATGCAAATGAACACAAGTCAGCTGAGAATAGCTCGCTTTGACTGTCGGATGCAAACTAAATTTGAAACCTTTGAGACTTTTGCTTGTGGGATTTTGGTGAGACCGGAGACAAGCCCCGCCCCTTTGGAGCTCCACAGCTCAGGTAGATGTCACAGTAGAAACACAATTTCACCACATTTGCTTAATGACTTTGGAGTTTCTTCAATGAAACAATAAACTGTTCATGATGCCAAACAAAGTCTCCAACAGCCTAAAGCTTTTATGTCTTTTGCAAACAAGCACAAAAACAAATGACATGAAACAGACACGTCTGTCTCCGAGTCCCATTCTGATGTAGGACTTACAGTTTTATCTCAAATCCTCTCAGAGAGCACTAGCATACCCAAGCGTCCATAAACCAGTTTTTACTTTAGCTCAAAAACTAGAGCTAGTCAAACTAGCAATACAATGCAAAAACATCAAACTGTAAACTTCTGCTACTCACAGTTTAAGAATACTTTCTCGCGGTTAGAAAATATTCTTTCTGACTCTCCTCATGTTCGCCTTCAAGGAGAGACTCACTGATGTGTGGTTACCATGGCGACCAAGATGAGCAACTGGGAGCAGGCTTAACATTTCCATTGATTATGGTTATCCACCAAAGTGTGGCGTTTTAGTTAGATCTTTGGCAGCATTCCTTCACACCTTTTAGAGCTGGTACATTTAAACACACAAATAACTAACTTGTGCAGGATTTGATGCTAAAGGGAGTGAAACGTGTTTCATGTGCTGTACACAAAAGGGCCCATGTTAAGGAGAGGGCACAGGAGTCCATCAGTGCTGCAGCACGGCCCTTAGTCCTGTGGGTTGCCAGCAGCCTGGTGCAGAAACAATGAACTTCCTACCGTGCGCGCTGTGCGCCAGGGAAAGCAGATCCTGGAGGATTTGGATCAGATTGCTCAGCTGGCTGTCCTCTTTGGGATTTTTCAGTCGCACCAAAAGTTTCTTCAGCTTCTCCTCCAACTCCTCCTTGTTCTCCATGGTGAAGATTTCCAGCTGGCTGACGTGCGTGCGTCAAAAGCGCACAGCCCTCATCAGACCCGACAGCTTCCCGCGGTGCTTCTGTTTGTTAATGGCACCAATATTACGCATTAGCAGCATGGCACAGCCGCTACAGGCGAGGCTGTCGTTGGTGAGTGTCGGTCCCCACGCTGCACCATCTTGGCTTAACTTCCCTTCAGCTAACAGCTTAAAAAAGTCTGCTCCTCTTCGTCGAGTCGTAGTTTTTCTGTTTCTTTCCTGTGGGAAGGACCACTGTTTCTGTTAGCAGGCGTGTTTCTGCTTCGCTGAGATCAAATCATATGACTCGAGTTAAAACAACTTCCCGGACATGAAGGAGGGGGGAAACGGGAGACGCAGCGACACAAGCGTGTATGGTTCCTGCTGGAGACTGTAACGTTTCTGAGTGATGTGTAAACCTTCTGCATAAACCTAGGAGAGAGAGAGAGCCCCACTAAAGCAGCACTGATTTGCGCCGTAACGCCTTAATAAGATCTCCCATCGTATGTTTGTGCAGGAAATTCCATTATTTTTCCTTGGATAGCATTTGTAAATATACTTGTAACATCCTATTACATGTTACATAAGTTTAGTTACAATTATTAAATCACTGAAAAAATATCTGCCGTCTTTTGATTTTGTGTTGCACATTTATGCCCATTGTTACGGTATTTAAATGGCATAATGGAATGCCCAAAAGTTACGTAAGGACGACATCTAAAAATAAATAAATAAAAACCAATCAATAAATGAACTGATGAAAACTGTAAAAACAGAGACGTTTTTGTTTATTTTAAGTAATAAATGCGTAAAACAATAACAAAAATCAGTGTCCAAAGACATCAAATTAGTTGATCAATCAATCAATCAATCAAGGAATTATTTTCGGATGTAAAACAGTGAAAATTAAACCAAATAAATATATCAGCATAAATAACAGAATTAGCTAAACGCTATACCAATAAATGTAGTAAAATCCAAAGAAGTGTTCCACAATTTTGTCATAATCCCACAATAAAAAGACAATTTCCCCTAACTAATCCAAATTATTTAGGATACTCAGATTTCATATTAACATATAGGCTAGAATTAGAATGAGGAAACTTCCAGATTTTCATTCATTTTCTGACTTGTTCAATCATGAGTAACTACATGTTTAGGTTTTATATACAAAAAAGAAACTTTTAATAATCAAAATACATAAACAATGTATTAGGTGGATGTTGAGGATGATGTTCATACTGAAACTGTTACTCTTTCAGAACCATTCAAGGGAAACTATGCAGTTTTTATTTGCTTTTAGCACCCCCAAGAGTCCTTTTTAATTCATTGTCGTAAAAGCTAAACTGAAACTTATCTCCCCGCTGTGCGCTCGATCGTGTTTTCAGCACCTTCAATTGTGAACAGCTCTGAAGGTGAGAAGTAGGGTGTCCACAAAGCAGTGGAACTGAATGTTAAATTTCTGGAATGTGTGACCTAGCAAAGGAAGGTAAATAATGGACATAATGGGCCCCAGGACAGAGCCCTGGGGCACGCCTCTAGTAACTGGGGAGGGGGCAGATCTGAAGGGATTGAGTTCCATGAACAGAAAATGGTCAGAAAGATAAGAGTGGAAAAAGTTTAGTAAGTTATGGGAAATACCAATGCATGCGAGCCTATATAGAAGAATAGAATGTGAGATGGTATTGAAGGCTGAGCTCAAATCAAGGAGGATGGAGAGTAAACCAGGATCAGCTGCAGGAAGAAGTTCATTGGTGATTTTTACAAGTGCAGTTTCTGTACTGTGACCTGGACGAAAACCAGACATCTCAGAACTTTGCTAAGCTGAATCACATTCTGAACTTGAGACTGTTATCCACCATTCATCTCCTCACACTTAGCCCACTGCAACTCCCTTTTCACGTGTCTGAACCGTCTACAGTTGGTTCAGAACGCCTGTGCTTGGCTTCTGACCAAGTCCTCCAAACACACCCACATCACCCCACTTCTCCTCCAGCTTCACTGGCTGCCAGTCAACTTCTGGGTTCATTTCAAGATCCTGGTTCTGGTCTATAGGGCCTTACATGGACAAGCACCATCTTACATTGGTGATCTTCTTAGTCCCTACACCCCCAGCAGGTCCCTGAGGTCCAGTGATCAAAGCCTACTGGTTGTGCAGCACCAGGCTAAAGACCAAAGGTGACAGATCATTTGCTGCTGTGGCCCCCAGACTGTGGACCTCTCTCCCCCTGAGCCTGAGATCAGTGGACTCAGTGGTCTCCTTTAACCCTCCCACTGTCCTAATGGGTGTGACCCCGCGAGGAAAGTTGACCATTGAGCAGGGTTGATGGTTTATCCCTTGGATCCATGTGGCAGGGGTGAGGAGTGAGCACCACCTCACCCCTGCCACGTGGACCTCAAGGGATAAACCTTCAACCCTGCTCAATGGTCAACTTTTCTTGCAGGGTCACCCATAAAGACAGTTGGAGGGTTAAAAAGCAGCTGAAAACTCATCTGTTCCGGCTGGCTTTGGTGACCTTCATCACCACCCTTTCCCTTTTGTGCCGCTTTTGGTGTGACCTTCTGTTCATCCTCTTCTTCCTCACTGGCTTCTCTTCAGGCTGCTGTTTCTACCATTTCTGTCTTTCTCAGGATCCCGTGATTGCCTTTTCTTATTCTTTTTTTCCCTTTACATTCGACTTTGTGAGACTTCAGAGCAGCAGTCTGTAGGCTGAAGCTGCAAACGGGGTGTCCTGCTCACAAGGGGTGGAGGGTGTCGTGACTTTTCATTAATCCTGTAAAGGGTCATTTTAGCACATACTGGTACAAGAAAAGGATTTAAAATATGAAAAAGTTGCTCAGTATGCCTTTACTGGACTTTAATTGCTAACAGTTTTAACACAAGGGCCTACTCACTTTATCCTTATAGAATTGATGCTTTGCATGTGTTATTCTCTGATTTTGTTCTACTTTTGACTTATATTCAGTTTGTGTTCAGATTTGTTTGTTTGTTTGTTTACTTATTTATGTGCTAGATTAAGTTGTCCTTTTGGCACCTGTCATCCCTTAGCCATGGGAATTTTCCAGGAGTGGCCATGGCCACCTCTTGGGGGCGCCACTGATGTGTGTTAACCAACAAGACCAAGGTGTTGGACCAGGACCTTATTTGACTGCCGGCGTTGTGCCATAAATCGACTGGTTGCCAAAAAAGGATTAGCCACCGCGGGACCCAAATGGTGCTCGCTGCAGAACCACAAAGGCGGAGCTGCACCAGAAGGTGGAGCTGCACCAGAGTCAGCCCCGCCCATTCCAGAATCAGCCCCGCCCATTCCATAAGAGTCAGTCCAATTCCTTCTAGTTGTCAGACTTGATAGCATTCTGGAACCAAAGAGGGTGTTATAGCTAAAAAATTGAGGACGGAGTTGAGAAGTTAATTGAACAGTTTTTGTAAAGGTTCCATATAATTAAAAATCAAACTTTTGGAACTTTTAATCATGTTATATTGTCATTTCCTCATAAGAAACACGCCAAAGCCATTTTTGGCCTCATTCATGCATTTCTTCCCATCTCAGCTTCAATTTGGTCTCCTCCCCCGAAGAGGGTCTGGTCTTGGTTCTCAAATCTGGATATTCTGTGAATTTTCTGACAAATTATTTCTTAAATGACTTCTTCTGAGACACCGCCGGAAAAACCATACATACCATCTACAAAGACACACTGGATAGGACAATTAAATATAACGCCACTAGGCTTTTTTTAAGATGTGGTGGTGTAGTGGTTATAGAGTCAAGTTGACATGCAGTTTTGCGCAGGTTCGCCTCCCACTAGCAGAAATATTAGGTAGCTTACAACCCCTTTTCCTCATTTCTAGCTACACTTGCCAGTACTATGTTTACAACAATTTACTGGTATACCGTTTAACATATAATGACTAATGTGTTTATTTATTTATTTGTTTATTTAGCCAGTGTGAGTCCATTTGTGAGCAGAGTTTCAACTAAAATACTGTTTAGGAACGACCAAATTCAAAGAACTTTTAGAGACATAAATATTTTGCTGAAAATAAACATTACAACTAAAATATAAACAAATTAAAATGTTTCAGCTGGCTAAATGGATTGTTGCCGACCTCACCGAGAATCGAACCAGCACCAGCTGAGGGGAAAGCAAAACTTAAGTTAAACGATCTCACCACTGGACTACCAGAGCACGTACGTAAATGACAGATGCTGTTGTACAACACTTTTCTTGGAGCGGCTGTGGGTAGATATTCGTTAAAAGAAACCTTTTCATTTCGAGATATATTCAGGCTTTGTCATGTAGCAAGTTATATTTATCTTGTTTAATTGAAGCATAGAACATAGCATTAACGACTGTAAACTAGTAACAGCCGTAATTCATGTGGGTCAGGTTAGTTTGCGATAAAGTTGGAAAAACAAAAACGGAAGTCAGTGGGCTAGACTGAGTTTGCGTGAATGGGCGGGGCTGACTCTGGTGCAGCTCCACCTTATGGTGCAGCTCCGCCTTTGTAGGTCTGCAGCGAGCACCCTCTCCCGCGGGATGGCGCACGGTCAGGGTAATTGCATTTCAAGGAAGCCCTCCTGCAATTTTTACAGGCGCAACTACAAGAGAAATTACGGTGGACCTGCCCCGACAGGGGTGTGTTCCTCACTTGCTGGGCAGCAGGATCACATGATCCTAAAGAGGCTTCCTGTTTGGTGAAGAAGACACGCTCTGTTGCAAGACTTTTCAACTGTTATATTTCTGAGGTAGGCGGATTTAAGTTATCCTTTATTTAGTACAGAGACACTAAATGTTAGTTGTTAGAAGTCCAAGCAACTTTAGTTTACTTCCTGTTTTTGGAAAAACAATGACAGTGACTGGAGTTGGGCAGACGGCCTACATAGAATCAGAAATGTTAGTTTAATTGTTCAGTGGATTATAGAAGAATAAAATTAGTCAAATATGACAAAGATTTGATATTTTTAACTTTTTTATAGAAATAAAAAAATGGGTGGGGGTGGGGGGCTCACATGTTTGCGGATTTAACATCGATACTGAGCTCTTGTCAGAGATCCTAATAAATGTGGGATAAACTTGCGCTTAGGTTATGATTTATGGTGGGTTCCGCCCCCAGACCCTGCTGCGGCGATCCTTTTGCAAACATGGCCGCGTGCAGAACGTAACAGACGTCTGCAGGATCGGGGGGCTCGACCGAATTCTTAGTTTTGCATCTTGACATTAGCTGTACAAAGTCTGAGTTTGATGAAGTGAAGAACAACAATTTCCAGAGGTTTATAACAGGTGCAGCGCCAGGTTTTCATTTTTGGGTGGGCCACGGCCATTTTGGACGGGCCTTGATAAGCAGTGACTTAAGTGAAGAAGCAGGCAGGTCACGCTAGAAAAGTTAGTTTAAAAAGTTTTCCCCCGTCATTTTTATTTCTAAAGCATAAAGTGAAAACTCACAATTTAATTTTCATTTGTTTTTCATCAATATGTAGTCCACAACCGTGCGTTAAGTGGACCGGCACCATGCATTACCTGCACTTCTAATATTTACCTCTCAACTTAGGACTCTTTCATAAGGGCAGAGGCGGTTTTACCATAGGCATAGGTAGGCGGCCGCCTGGGGCCCCCTTCTGTTGGGGGGCCCCCTAGCCCTGACCGCCGGCACCCCTCTGTTAATGCCACAATATTCTTATTACCAACCTGTTGCCGCAGACGGGATTGGACATGTGCACTTCTCATTACCATAATTCCTGAACCGTTCAAGATATTAAAATTCCAAAAGTGCTGAAAAGATTAAAAATGGGGCTTTTCGTGCATATACAATACATTACGGTAGCCACCGGGATTCCCTGTCTTGAGCGCAACGAATCACAGCACAGATTCAGACGTGCTGAGTTTGTCATCCAAAATGCTCCGTTTTATAACTTTTGAAAGGCTGATCAGATTAAAAAAATTCCAACTGTTCCTAAAAGAACATAAAAGCAGCTTTCCAATGATCTATAGCATGAAGCAATCAGAGTTATGGAAAATATCGCTACGAGGGGAAATCCTGCTGTACAGCCTGATTGAAATGGAGCGCAGCAACAGGGTTGAAAGCGGATAACGGAACGGGGAAGCTAATTAGCATAAAAACCAGCATGAAATTATGGAAATACCTCAAAGAAAATCAACACGATCTATTAGGTGTCCCAGAAGGCTGATATCTGAAGACAGTGACCACGAAGACTGACAGATCTCCAGTGAACCAGGATATGAACGTTTGTTCAGTCTTTATTTTTTATTTTTTTATTTGAACAACCCTCAACTATTTGCTAATTGTAAGATTCAGCTTCATTCCAGCATTATTTATCTTTTTACAATAAATAATTACATTTGCTAAAACAAAAGTTTTTGGTATAGCAGCACGGTGTGCCAGAGAAGCAGCCCATGGCGGTGTGAGTCTGCCTGCAGCTGGACAGAAACTGCTTCAAGGTCTACCACATCAAATAAAAACGTCTGAAAGTTTACAAAAATAAATGGTCTTAAAAACAGCTAAAAAAATACCAAGGTTCACACTTTTTAAAGAATAGATGCATTACAGTTCAAGGTTTAAAATTTGCCCAGTAATTTTGAAGTTCCTGTTCAGTAATAAATGTAAAAAAAAAATCAAATCCGTTTTTTGCTTTTTTCACTTTTAAGCTGATTTTTAACGGCTTTAATAGAAATAAATTCTAAATACAAACCATACACTGAAAGCTGAAGTTGTTCTGAAAGAGTTACACACAATTTGCACTTTTTATTACAATTTTACAGCCATTAGATTAAAAAAATACCAGGTGGCCCTGTTATAATTATGGTCATAAGAGGGTCATTAAGACGGCGATGCATAAACAGGAAGTGATTAGTAGTCATTCCACTCCAATCCAGTTAGTGGCGGCAATGCACCAAATTGTTGTTTGCCAAGTGCCATAAGACCACAAACAAGAAGAAGAAGAGAGGTGGGAGTGTTCGTAACAAACTCGGAGCGATGGTCAAAACAGTAAGCATGAAACTGAATTATCCAAGAGAAAGAAGCAGCTTGCTTCATAAAAGCTTTTATTTTCACTTCTGAAAGTGACGTCGTTTTTCGATGTAAACATCAAAGGAAGCAGAAAGGAAAGAATGGAAAATGTTTCAAGGGAGGAAAACATAAACCAAAATGGAAAATAGAAAAAAAAAATAACTAAGGCTAAAGCACAGGAGCACTGACAGGAAAAAGAAAGCCGAGCTAATGTTGAAAGCACTCAAAGGGAGAGAAAAACAGGAAAAAAGAGGAGGACTAATAAAAAGGGAAAATAACTTTTGTCAGAAGAGGGGAGAGTTTCGCAAATCCAGTTAAAGGTAAGATTGTCGAAAATTTACTGTAAGGGGCCCCATGTCTGTGTTCGCCTTGGGCCCCCAAATTGCTAAATCCGCCCCTGCATAAGGGTACATGCACACTGGTAGTTTTTACGGTTGTTCATGAGGCAAAATCTCCGACATTAAAAAAAAATCCATCTTAGTAAAAGCAAAGCACCCAGCCCACCTCTCCAAATGCGTTAAATGTGCATCACAGCCGCTTGGCGCGCCACGCGCACCGTCGGCTACGTCAGCCCAGACAAATAGAGACAGAATAGCGGATAATTCTGTCTGGATGTGGATGGAGATTACATTTTACAGCAGCCTGATAAACATCACCTGTCTTCTAGTCCACGCTATCAGCATTATTTTAATGTGTGTGTGTGTGTGTGTGTGTGTGTGTGTGTGTGTGTGTGTGTGTGTGTGTGTGTGTGTGTGTGTGTGTGTGTGTGTGTGTGTGTGTGTGTGTGTGTGAAAATAAACAGTCAAATGGAAATATCTGTAACCTGCCATTTAACTGTTTTGCCTTCTTGTGAAGATTGTTGCAAAGAGAAACAACTAAACCTGATTAACCCCAGAGCCAGGCGCACTGAGCTGTACTTCTGACTGTAAATGAGGGGGAGACGATTTAATCGGATCCTTTTCTTTTCAACATGGTTTAATGTAAAGTTCAATCTAACGACACAGAGCCTGGATTTGTATTCTGAACAGGTTGAAAACGTGTAAAACTGAGACATGCGTGACGCGTCTAAAATCCGCACCTGCTCCGCTATTATGGAAATTAAACTAACATAAAATTATTTTAGGCACAGACAACATCCCCACAATTTTGAAAATCTTGCAACGCACCTGCATCTATACCTGGTCGGCCTGGCCCAGATAGTATAGCTTGCTTACATATCTTGGTGGCCTGTCTTTTTTCAGGGTGCAACGAGACTGTTTTTCAGCCCTCTTTCTGAGGGGGTCTGCTTCAGGCTGACCAGGGCCAACACACCCACTGCTGACTGATAAGCCGGCGTATCAGTCAACAAATTCACACCTTCCATTAGAGCAAGCCTCTGATTGGTGGGTAGAATCAGCCTACATGGGCTTCAGGCATGCTCAATTCATCATCATTCATTATCATGCTGATTACCTAGAAGCTGAACATGTCTCTGACTGCATTCCTTGCATACCCAAGCAATTATGGGTGGAATCAACTGGGCCAGGCTGGGGCTGACCCGAGCTATCCGGGCAGGGCCGACCAGGTACAGATGGGAATGGGGCATAAGAGTTTACGCAGGTCTGACCTGGTGTTACGTCGAAATATGTCCCCCTGTAATGTTCGCTCTAGGATCTCTGCGTTCTTTTGTCCTGGGTGAGATAATCCAGCGGTCCGGTGATGTTTCCTTGCTGATGACCCTCAGTTCGTGTGATGATTATTATTATTTAGTTAAACTGTTTACGGTAGGGTCATACAACAGCCTTTAAAATGGGACTCAGTCCCGGTTGACACTCAGCACTAAGGGGTTGGATTAGGGGTTTAAAGCCAATGCAGACATGTAATTTCACCAGTGTGTGATGGTGACTCCTGCTTTTTCCTATGCCCACCAGCTGGATGACTGCAGCCTGAAGCACATGAATGACCGGATGAGCAGCAGGAGGCTGAAAGCTGAGCATGGAGAGTGGAGTCTTATTGGACCTCCATCAGGAGGAGACACTTCTAATCTCCTGGACCAAAACATCTCCACACCCTATTTTATTTATGTGTTGGCATTTTTCTCGGCCTTGGGGGGCTTTCTCTTTGGCTATGACACTGGGGTGGTTTCTGGGGCCATGCTGCCCCTGAAGAGAGAGATGAACCTGAACGCCCTGTGGCAGGAGCTGTTGGTTTCCAGTACCGTTGGGGCAGCAGCGCTCTCCGCCCTGAGTGGAGGCTATTTAAACGGCTGGTTGGGTCGTAGGATCTGTATCCTTGTGGCCAGTTTCATCTTCAGTGTTGGTGGCATCGTACTGAGTCTTGCTCAGGACAAAGTAGTCCTCCTTGTTGGCAGAGTCACAGTCGGTTTGGGAATAGGTGAGTAACTTTAGTGTTATGAAATCTTTGAGCATCTTCAGTGGTTCCCAGAACTGTTTAGCACATTACAAAGACCCAGACCACTGCTAGCTGATGTGTACAGAGCCAAAAACCTGAATAATTCAAACAACTCTATACACACACCCCTCCTCTTCCATGTACCCACCCATCCCAGAACAAAAACACTGAAAATAAAGGAGTGTTTGCGGGTGAAAACATGAAGAGCAGTCACAGATCAGCTTACACGAGAACATGTTGCACTTATTCTTTGACCAGAATAAACTGTCCCATGCTCTCTGGCCAGCTGCATGCATCCAAGCTCAGTTGGGACGGAACAGATTTAGAACTTCATATTCATGTGTTTGTTTTTGTGACGCTGCTTCATGCTGAAATGTTGATTTTGACAGAGTTGTTGACTGTTTTTTGATGCTCAATGGGAACACTTTGACTCTGTGCAGAAACACAACTTTCACTTCCCACATTTCCAGTGCACAGACCTGCGCTGCTAAACCAGAACTTATGGTGCTTGTTAACAGGTGCCTTTAGCTTCACTGTTCAACAACAGAAGGCTCTGAGTTATTATTTAGGGCATCTCTTCACCTCGTGTTTATTTTAGTTCATGTTTGGGTCTGAATCTGTACGTTTAAAGTCTATATAACTACACAATAATTTGATTTCAACATTTAGATGTAACCTAATCTCTTTCAATTAAATGTTAAATATATATGTTAAACATTTTCATTAGTATTTATGTTTAAAAACTGCATTATAATTTCTTAAATGAGTGGTGTAAAAAGTGACCAAATTTTTACTAATCGTTTTTATGGTGCAGATCTAAATGTGACAAAAACCAGCTGCTAATTTATTATTTTTTGTTTATAGTTTTACAGTCAGTGCCCCGATATGGAGGTGACACACACATGAGTTTTGTCTGACTGCATTTCTTCATTCACCAACAGGCATTGCTTCTATGACGGTTCCTGTTTACATTGCAGAGGTGTCCCCCCCTCACATGAGAGGCCAGCTGGTCACCATTAACTCCCTCTTCATCACTGGGGGCCAGTTTGTTGCCAGTGTAGTTGATGGGGCTTTCAGCTATCTGAGCCGTGATGGATGGAGGTAAATGTTTACATTTTTTTCCACCTCACTCACCACCACTAACATCTCACAGGTTTTAAAAGGTCTTAGATTTATGATAAAGTGTTTAAAACTGTAACTGGGGTGTGATTTGGCTGATCCCCCTCCGCTTCAGGTACATGTTGGGCCTTTCCATCATACCTGCTGTGCTGCAGTTCTTCGGCTTCGTCTTTCTGCCAGAAAGCCCCCGATGGCTCCTGCAAAAAGGCCGAAGCGATGAAGCACACCGTGTCCTCAGCCAGATTAGAGGAAACCAGAACATTGATGAGGAGTACGACAAGATCAAAGCCAGCATTGAGGAGGAGAAGGAGGTGGGAGCAGGTAAGGGAACTCTAACAAAGCACAAATATTGATGAAAGGTGGAAATTCATCTTGATCCTTAAAGCTTCTGGTTTTATTTCAGGAGGTGTTGTCATTTTACGCATCCTCAGACATGGTCCTACTCGCAGGGCTCTTATTGTTGGTTGTTGTCTCCAGATGTTTCAGCAGCTGTCTGGAATCAACACAGTCATGTAAGCTCACTCATGGTATCCCCTATTTATTTCCCTCAGCCACCTGATAACTATGCTCAGATAAATGTGTGTTTTCTGCCTTTGTAAGGTACTACAGTGCAACTATTCTGCAGATGGGGGGAGTACAGGACGACAAGCAGGCGATCTGGTTGGCTGCTGCTACTTCAGCCACCAACTTTGTGTTTACCTTGGTTGGAGTGTGGCTGGTGGAAAAAGTGGGCCGCAGGAAACTGGTCCTGGGGAGTCTTTTAGGTGTGCAACTATAATATTTGACATAACTTCTGGGTAAAATGTGAAAAGTACTAGCTTTAATCTTATTCAAGAGCACAGAAAATGGTTGGAGGTTAAGTGGAGTGTATTTGTAGCCTTGTGCTGCGGTGCTGTACTTTTTTTCCCAACACTGAAAGACAAAGGGAAAGCAATAGCATAGTATCATATCTATTTATGTTTGTCTGTTTGTCAACTAAACAGTGCCACTAGATGGCTTTTAATGGGACTTTCTGAAAACAACTGATTAACTTTTGGAGTTAACCCATTTTGATATGGCCATCCCAGCTAACTGGTCATGAAAATACTAAAATTGCCGTTCATCCATCCATCCATTTTCATTCGCTTATGCGGGATGGGGTAGCAACCTAAGCAGAGAGGCCCAGACTTCCCTTTCCCTAGCCACTTGGACCAGCTTTTCCAAGGGAGTCCCATACCCTCTATGCTGCCATTGCCTGGTCTTTAATAAAAAGGACACGATTGCACCACATTACCGCCACGGTCTGAACACTTAAAAATGACCCAAGGCTCCCTGGTGCCGCGACCCGGTTCCCGTCAGGGCTGTGTTCTGTCCCCTCTGCTCCTATCCCTGTACACCAACGACTGACCCCCCAACCACTAGTCTGTCAAGCTTATCAAGCTTGCAGATGACACCACCGTCATCAGACTTATCTCGGACGGAGATGCCACAAGAACAGTTTCGTCCCCTCTGCAGTTGGACTCATGAACGACAATCCTAGGGCTGGCCACTCCAGTCGCTTGGTTTCAGTCACATGACCCTGTGTTGTGTTTGCACCTGAACTGTTGTGCTCTGATCAGTATACTGTCTTGTAGCTGTTTCTCTAATGATTGCCACTTTATATTAATATTTTATCATGACTATTTTCTTACTTCCTATATTTGCTTATCCCCTATTTTTATCTTTCTTTTTGCACCAAGTACTGCAGCAGTTTCCTAATATTGTGATTTCTTGCACATATGGCAATAAAACCCTTCTGATTCTGATCTTGAAAAGTGGTAGAATAAGTCATATCCCCAAGGAATGAGATGCATTTAATTAGCACCTAATGTATTATTATGCAGGTACTGGTCTGAGTCTGACTTTGCTGGCTGTCAGTTTCCTGCTTTCTGCTCAGAACTCTCCACCCGTGACCTTCCACCCTTACGACCCTCAAAATTCAACCTGCAGACAGTATGGGTAAAAAGAAAAACAAACTCGTTCTATTTTCTTACTAAAACAAACTTTGAGTCTTTGGTCACAAATTTATGAAGCAGCAACTTTTGTAATTTTCATCTTGCAGGTCCTGTGAACTCTGCATGTTGGATCCAAATTGTGGATTTTGTTACCGTGAAAATGGGACCGTGGTGTTTGAAACCTCATGCGTTCCTGTCAACCTGGCGTCCACTGATCATGCAGCCTGGGGAAGGTCAGAAAATCTCATTAGTTATGCACACTGATGCGCGCATCAGTGTTTTGCACTAAACGTAAGTGTTACTTGTCACTCTTGTATAGACTGGATAAGATCAAGCCCATCTTCCATTTATTTTTCCCTCCAGATGTTCTAACAGCACAGAAGGAAGTGACAACCTAATTTGGGCGTACAATTACTGTCCCACATCCTACTCCTGGGTTGTTCTGATGGGCCTCGTCCTCTATCTTGCATCATTTGCTCCAGGTCTTTGTTCCGTTCTCTACTTTGACTTTAACACGTGTCTAGCTAGCTCACATGATATTTAATAGGTAGGAAAAAAGTCCAGTTTTACAGGAAGTCTGCAAAATATCTGCTGAACTTCTGAAGGTTCCACTGAACAAATCTGCTTGACTTGTTTACACCAAGAATGTTTTTCCCTTTTTTTCCCCACGGTTTTCAAACTAACCCAATTCTCACCTTTGGTAATGTGCTCTCACCAGTGACTTAATTAGCTACATCTGTTCTATCCCCTGTTAACACAAATATCAAATCGACCAATCAGATGGCGGCATTTATTTATCTTCCTGTGGTAAAAACCACCTGCTGAAGTTCAAACTGAGAAGAAAGGAAGTTGAAGAGCCTTTACAAATGCAGGGTGCTGGTACCAGACGAGCTAGGAGTAGTTCAGAAGCTGCTGATCTACGGAATTTCAACATTTATTGTACATGTTTATAATTCCGTTCTAAGTCAGGGACTCCAAAGTGCTTTACAGTAGGGCTGCTCAATTAATCGAATTTTAATCACGATTACGATCTGAGTTTTGAACGATTATAAAAAACAAAACAAGCCGATTATTTGCTCCTCCCGCTTGCGCTGCCCTGAGTTGCAAATGAAGCGCTCCTCCACAGTGTTGCCAACTTAGCGACTTTGACCCTATTTCTAACAGCTTTTCAGACCCCCTTCTTGACTTTTTAATCCTAAAAGTACCTAGCGAACACCTCAGAAACATCTCTGGTAACCCTTAGCTACTTTCTGGATAACTATCGTCGACGTTTCCTGCAGGTTAGCTAAACACTCCGCCTGCACTCCGGACCGTTCTTCAGGACATTAGGAAAGGGAATGATGTAGTGATGTGTCAGTCGCTAAAGACAGCTCTCGGAGCCGCCCTGCTCCCTGTTGGAGTAACCAGAGTGAGTGACACACACACCGCACCTGCGGACTCCTGAGCCGCTAAAAACAGCTAAATGTGCGCGTGCGGCGCGCTAAACACACGTGCAGCTTGCCCCTGATTGCTGTGAGACCGGGTTGGGGGGTGGGGGGTGCAGCTGTGGTTGGGACAATTATTACATTAACTGATGGACTTGTAAATAAATAGTTTGTAAATAAGGTAGAAATAACTTCCTCACGCTGATAAATAATAACTAATCTCTCTGAGGACACGGTGCTAGTGCACTCTCCTACAGCACCTTGACACAACTCAATAAATGTTATGCAACATTTTGTGAACATCAATTTATTTGCATTTATTTGTTATAAATGCCACTGTATAATTCTTGCTGTCAGTATTTGCAAGATATTGGTATTTGGTTCTGTACTGGTTAGACTTAAATGAGTTAAACCAAGGTCTACAGCCCTTGGGTCATAGACTATGAGCTATAAGTATATTGGTCTTTTATACAGGGAATCAGGAGTTCTTTTAGTGATCATCTTGTTTCTTATTTTTGTCCTGATTGTGCCCTGAGCAATTTTATGACTGAATAAAAACAAATAAAATCAACATAAATTGAAAAATCGTCCTAAATAATCGTGATCTCAATTTCAGTCACCATAATCGTGATTATTATTTTTGCCATAATCGAGCAGCCCTACTTTACAGTACAATCATGCACCCACACACTACATTGTAGCCACAGGGTTACACCGACAGAAGCAAGGCTGCAGAACACAGGCACCACTGGTCCCTTCTCCACCACCAGCAGGCAGGGTAGGCGGAGCATCTTGGCCAAGGACACAACAGTGCTGGAGTTTGAACTGACCACCCACCAGTTACAGGGTGACCTCCTAACCTCTGAGGCTACACCAACCTATTAGAACCAACAACCATCTCTCAAATTTACAGTGAACTGTCTGAAAGAGAGACGCCTTCCAGTGAGCAGCAGCCATGTGGATGAAAATGTCTTCGTTAGGACATGGGTGTCAGTTTCACTGCTATGCAGATGATACCCAGGTATACGTGCCTTTTAAGAGGGGCCACAATCATGCTTTGCAGTTTCTGTTAGATTGTCTCATTGAGGTTAGGTAATGGATGTTTCTAACTGCCTTCTTTTTAATGATAAAAAGACAACGGTTGTAGTTTTTGGTCCAAGGACTTTGTCTAGGGTGGGTGCAGTGGACCTCGGTAAGCTCGCCCCATTCTTACAACTGAGTGTGACTTCTCTGGGTCTTGTGCTGATGGGGATCTTGTCTTGGACTGGCTGATCAGTGCGGTGACTAAATCTAGTTTTTATCAGTTAAGAAGGGTCGTCAAGGTGAAGACCTTGCAGTCCAAAAAGGATTTTGAAACCGTAATTTATGTGTTTATTACATCAAGGCTGGATTACTGTAATTCTTTGTACCTTTGTGTTTCACAATCCCACCTCTCACGTTGGTGCAGAATGCTGCTGCACGGCTGCTCACTGGGACGAAAAAGATGGAGCATGTTTCTCCTGTCCTGGCCTCTCTGCACTGGCTGCCTGTTTGTTTTAGAATCCAGTACAAGGTGCTTTTATGGGCTTTTAAATCTCTGCATGGCCTCGCTCCAGTTTATCTCTCTGAGCCACTGGTTTTTACTCCCCTGGAGTAAAAACTTCTTCATCATGAGTCGGTGCAGCAGGACCTTAAATGGCCCATCTCTGAAGAGTCAGAACCAACTTTATCAATGTGCTGTCCTCATGTTTTATACGAAGTGCTCATTTTTTGTTCGGTTTATAAAACGGCTGCTGGTAGAAGATGATAATCCACTAATTCTAATACTAAAGGTGAAATTAAACCATTATTATAAATTAAAATTTCCAGATCTGGTGCATTTTCTCACGGCACAGATTATGTATAAAGCAATAAATAAACTACTTCCTGACAACATTCTAAAATAGTTTTCTAAAAGGGAAGGAGGATACAATCTGAGGGGTGAGTTTAACTTAAAATATCCTTGTATCCGTACAACATAAAAACGTTTTTGCATTTGTGTGTGGAGTGAAGCTGTGGAACAGTTTTAGTGCAGATATGAAGCGATGTCCGAGCATGAGGCAATTTAAAAAGCAGTTTAAGGATTTGGTTTTTGCAGAAAACAAGGAGGTTGAGAATTGATGATCTTGTACAATATTTTCGTTGACATAATTGTGCACGGGTACGTTGCGGTGGGTATCTCTATGTTCGTTAAAATATACATGTCATATATACTGAAACTATACGGAGGAATGTCTGTAGGCTATTGATTGTTAGAGTGGAAAGGGGGTGGGATTAAATAAGCTTAAGCTTCTTCCTGCTCCTTTTTGATCATTGTAGTATTTTTTGTTTTTATTTGTTTTTTTTTCTCTGTCTATTTCCTTTCTTTATTTTTATGTACTGTTTTTTAATATGTTCAAAATAAAGATTCAATCAATCAATCAATCAAATTACCTCCCAAAGCTAATTTTAGAACCGTGTTTTAAAGGTCAGGATCTTTAAGGCAGGCAGGTTTATTATATTAAAGAAAATAATGTATAATTAATTCGTTTTTGTGTCAGTATCTCCTTATTTTTCTGTTATTTGCTCCATTATTTTGAGGATTTTGTATGTGTTGTGAGGCATGCCAGAACTAGATTTAACATAATGATGAACTAATGGTTAGTATCTATGTGTTACAGGTATGGGCCCCATGCCGTGGACGGTGAATTCAGAGATCTACCCACTCTGGGCACGCAGCACAGGCAACGCCTGCTCAGCTGCTGCCAACTGGATCTTCAATGTTCTTGTGTCGCTGACTTTTCTACACGTTGCACAGTTTCTGACGTATTACGGTAAACCTCTCTTGACTTGCTTTTTTTAAACCCATAATAATTTTGCCCTGGCTGGTGGTTTACTTTTGTCCTTCAGAATAAAAAAATAACATGAAGACATATTTCTAAACTAGAATAGAGCTTTACAGTCATTGTCTTTTTGTTCAGCAGCTCGCCAGGAGGCTTAGAGTGTAAATAGAATAAGTATGGTCAAATTTGTACACCAAATATTTACACAGGTCGTGGCTGGATGAACCTTGTGTGCTCTGTAAACAGGTTTGTGTAAACGTAGTACTTCAGTCATGCGGGGAATTTAGATGTTTTAGTTTTTTACTTTAGCCGTAACTCGGGACTTGACTCAGAAAGTCTGACCTGTGATATTGACGAGGCAGGACGAGCTATAACTTTATGAACCAGCCGTTTTATTATTCACCTGTGTGCGCATTGCAGTCATGTCTAATCACGCTAGCCTCACGCTAAACTGATGTCATGATGCCCCCTCCACCACACGTGCCTGAACAAAAAACTTCAACACACCACAGGGCTGAATGACTTTTAGGAAAAGTGTGAATTGCCATTTTTCTGGAAAAAAATTCAATTCAATTCATGATCATCATACCATCAAAACGTTAAAAGCTATTAGGCTAATGACGTAAGGAAGGTGGGAATAGCTTTTAGGTGTTTTAGTAACAAAAACATGCATGCAGGGTTTAGCCAGCATCGTTTTACTGAGCTGGCTGTTGTTTTCTCACAAAAACACTGTTCTAATACTCAGCTCTGAGTTTAAAAGAATATTTGCACGAACAACATTAAAGCAAACATGTATTACGGTGCATGGAGTAAAATTATGGTATCACTTGGATGATGGCTTGAAAAAATGTTCCACCACTGATCAATTTAAGAACATTTATAAGGAGAAAATGATAAAATCCTATGATTGAATAAGTTACTGATGGTGGATATTGTTATGATTTAATTGTGATATTGCTTGCAAAGAAAAGAAAGATGTATGTTTGGTGGCGTTTAAGGCCATATTGTAAATAGTTTTGTATTTAGTAGAAGGGGTAGGTCACATAAGATTTTTCTTCTTCCTCCCCTTTTTCACGTGGAAGTTTGTGTTGAGAGTTAAAGATGAATGAAGTTGCCAAGTGGAAATGAACAAACTGTGATACACATTGGACATGGTCAAGTCGCTTTAGTGTTATTACGGATGGGTAAACCCCATGCTGCTGTTTCAGGGAGCCAGAGAATGGGTCCATCCATCTCACATTCACGAACTGCTGAGTGAGGGGCCGAGCATTAGGGTCGGAGACAGACAGCCTTAGCCTTAGCTGTAGCAGCATTAAGAAAAGAAATGGAAAAGCAAAGCCCTTTTAATATCACCAGCTAGTGTTTATGGTTGAAGACAACATTTAGATCAATGAAGAGCAACAACTGTTGTTTAAAGCAGCTTTTATAGAGTGGGCTGGTACTGTTAACAGGGTTTGTCTCACGATGTGTTATCTAACTGTCTCCCTACACTGTGATCTTTCCTCAGGTGCGTTCTTCATGTACACAGGCCTGGTGGTGTTGGCTCTCCTCTTCGTCTTTGCCTGCCTCCCAGAGACAAAGGGCTTGCAGCTGGAGGACATTGAGAACTTGTTCACCGGGCAGCTCTGCTCCTGCAGAGGCTCTGCTTACAATGACATGCGTCACATCCACTACATCCGGGTAAAAGGCAGCAACTGCCTCCAATCCGACAACGAGGCTTCAGATGTAGAGTAGAGCGGGCAGATTTTCTCTCTTCGCTCTTCTTTTGGGGACACTTTTCTTCTCTGGTTTGAGGACTGCTCATGCGGAGACGTTGGGATCAAAAACACAGATTACAGCAATCGTTATCTGCACCTGGGCATTACTTTAGTTTTCCTATTTTATCAATATTTCAGTCACTCTGAAAGGGAATCAGGCTCCTTCATTAGTAACAGTTACAGAGCTTAAAGCAGAAATCTGGAGTTTATTCTCAGAGGGCACCTTCAAGAGGCAGAAAAACGTATTGCACTTTACGCCCCGCTACCACCTCTCACGCACACCTCTAGCCGGCCAACAGAGCAAAAGCACACCATTTTACAATTATTCTAACACCATGCCATAAAACGCTATAAATATATATATATATTAAGATTTACTTGTCCATAAGAAATGTCCTAAGCTCTGCATCAGTCTAGGTACATCCGTAAACAAGCACACCCACTCTGTGATTGGCAGCTGTTCATAAGCGGATGTGTAATGCTATTGGCTATTGCTGAGCGGCACTCACTTCAATTTGCACAGAGCTCTGCGGGACGGGGGAGAGGCTTAGCACAAAATAAATAACGTATAGCCTATCACAGTGCAGGGTAAGGGGGGCTGGCTACCAAACATCACTGGGTGAATGAAAGTGTCTTTTCTGCTGTTGTTAGATTGATAAGATTATTTAATACCAAATATGGTGAAGAAGTCTTCGCATGACTACAGTCGGATCTCCTTTTAGATACTCTGGGAAAGTCCAAACCTGACTCACCAACAAGAATGTGTGTGTGTTATTATCTCAAATTAAGAAAAAATTGCACAGAGAGTCCTGGTGAATTGTGCCACATTTTCTGTGAGACACACTCTTGTTGAAACCACTAACACGGGGTTTGTTGTTTGAATCAGGACAAAAACTACTAACTGAGGCGTGTCCTCTTCACAGTGACAATCTACACGATGGACGAAAACCAAATGGGTGTCTTTTATTTGATTTCATTTGGGCAAATGTGATACTGAAAGTTTACTTAATGCCGGATTGATAGAATGAGTTCTCCACATTTTTTAGCGAGGTTCTGATGTAAGGCCAGCACCCTATGGAGCAGTGGACCCGGACACTTCCATAGCCTATATAACTGTAAGTACTGTACCGAGATGTGAAAAGCCATGGATTACAGTGAATACGCCTCTGTAAAGTACAACTTCATGTGTTTGTTCTTTCAGCTGAGATAATCGTGACCAAGTATCCAGTGAGCAGCATGATCTTGTGTTTTGTACAAACTGTTTGCACTGTTTCACTTTGATATAAGGTTTATTTTATTGTGACAAACTCCAGGATTTCTCACATATCAGTGATGTAATCATGCCGTACAAATCTGTAAAATGTTTGCTAATTGCACTAAATATGGCAATATGTTTGTATCTGCCATGTTTGTTACAAATTTCATTTTGTCTGATAGTCGTGTGTTTTATATAAAACCAATCAATTTCATTCAAAAATAAACAAAACTTCTCAGTTTGACTGACCTATACTGAGATCACAGTTATAGGTTTATTCATACGGTGGACACAAGCGCCTATGCTCAGAGCGGTGTGTTTGGATCTTGTTGCTTTTATGTATAATTATTTATTCTAGGAAAATACAAACTACCGTAAGTCCATTCCAGAGCGCCTGAAGCAAGCTCCCTCCTCGGGGTGGAGATAACAGGAGCTTGGACTAGAGCCACTGCTCCTCTTCATTAAAATGTGTTAGCAGAGGTGGATCAATCAATCAGATCAATCAAATTGTATTTGTATAGCACCTTCTACAACCTGAACAGGAGCTCAAAAACATAGCTCATGCAGCTGATTTGGACGTCTCCAGGTTTTCTTGTTCTAGAAGCTATTTTGGAGGAGACCCTGGAGCAGGATTGTATATCCTGTTTGGTCTGGGAACACCCCAGATCCTCCCATCAGGAGCTGGAGAGTCCCTGGAGGAGAGGGATGTCTGGGTGTCCATCTTGAATCCAACATCTTTGTGATATTCTCAGATAAGTCAGTGATGGGTGGGTAGGTTATGGGTGGATAGATGGATGGGTGGGTAGGTTATGGGTGGATAGATGGATGGGTGGGTAGGTTATAGGTGGGTATATGGATGGGTGGGTAGGTTATAGGTGGATAGATGGATGGGTGGGTAGGTTATAGGTGGGTATATGGATGGGTGGGTAGGTTATAGGTGGATAGATGGATGGGTGGGTAGGTTATAGGTGGATAGATGGATGGGTGGGTAGGTTATAGGTGGATAGATGGATGGGTGGGTAGGTTATGGGTGGATAGATGGATGGGTGGGTAGGTTATGGGTGGATAGATGGATGGGTGGGTAGGTTATAGGTGGATAGGTTATAGGTGGATAGATGGATGGGTGGGTAGGTTATAGGTGGATAGATGGATGGGTGGGTAGGTTATGGGTGGATAGATGGATGGGTGGGTAGGTTATGGGTGGATAGATGGATGGGTGGGTAGGTTATGGGTGGATAGATGGATGGGTGGGTAGGTTATAGGTGGATAGATGGATGGGTGGGTAGGTTATAGGTGGATAGATGGATGGGTGGGTAGGTTATGGGTGGATAGATGGATGGGTGGGTAGGTTATTGGTGGATAGATGGATGGGTGGGTAGATTATAGGTGGATAGATGGATGGGTGGGTAGGTTATAGGTGGATAGATGGATGGGTGGGTAGGTTATAGGTGGATAGATGGATGGGTGGGTAGGTTATAGGTGGGTAGGTTATAGGTGGATAGATGGATGGGTGGGTAGGTTATGGGTGGATAGATGGATGGGTGGGTAGGTTATGGGTGGATAGATGGATGGGTGGGTGGGTAGGTTATAGGTGGATAGATGGATGGGTGGGTAGGTTATAGGTGGATAGATGGATAGGTGGGTAGGTTATAGGTGGATAGATGGATGGGTGGGTAGGTTATAGGTGGATAGATGGATGGGTGGGTAGGTTATGGGTGGATAGATGGATGGGTGGGTAGGTTATGGGTGGATAGATGGATGGGTGGGTAGGTTATAGGTGGATAGATGGATGGGTGGGTAGGTTATAGGTGGATAGATGGATGGGTGGGTAGGTTATAGGTGGATAGATGGATGGGTGGGTAGGTTATAGGTGGATAGATGGATGGGTGGGTAGGTTATAGATGGATGGGTGGGTAGGTTATGGGTGGATAGATGGATGGGTGGGTAGGTTATAGGTGGATAGATGGATGGGTGGGTAGGTTATAGGTGGATAGATGGATGGGTGGGTAGGTTATAGGTGGATAGATGGATGGGTGGGTAGGTTATGGGTGGATAGATGGATGGGTGGGTAGGTTATGGGTGGATAGATGGATGGGTGGGTAGGTTATAGGTGGATAGATGGATGGGTGGGTAGGTTATAGGTGGATAGATGGATGGGTGGGTAGGTTATAGGTGGATAGATGGATGGGTGGGTAGGTTATAGGTGGATAGATGGATGGGTGGGTAGGTTATGGGTGGATATATGGATGGGTGGGTAGGTTATAGGTGGATAGATGGATGGGTGGGTAGGTTATTGGTGGATAGATGGATGGGTGGGTAGGTTATAGGTGGATAGATGGATGGGTGGGTAGGTTATGGGTGGATAGATGGATGGGTGGGTAGGTTATAGGTGGATAGATGGATGGGTGGGTAGGTTATAGGTGGATAGATGGATGGGTGGGTAGGTTATGGGTGGATAGATGGATGGGTGGGTAGGTTATAGGTGGATAGATGGATGGGTGGGTAGGTTATAGGTGGATAGATGGATAGGTGGGTAGGTTATAGGTGGATGGATGGGTGGGTAGGTTATAGGTGGATAGATGGATGGGTGGGTAGGTTATGGGTGGATAGATGGATGGGTGGGTAGGTTATGGGTGGATAGATGGATGGGTGGGTAGGTTATAGGTGGATAGATGGATGGGTGGGTAGGTTATAGGTGGATAGATGGATGGGTGGGTAGGTTATAGGTGGATAGATGGATGGGTGGGTAGGTTATAGGTGGATAGATGGATGGGTGGGTAGGTTATAGGTGGATAGATGGATGGGTGGGTAGGTTATGGGTGGATAGATGGATGGGTGGGTAGGTTATAGGTGGATAGATGGATGGGTGGGTAGGTTATTGGTGGATAGATGGATGGGTGGGTAGGTTATAGGTGGATAGATGGATGGGTGGGTAGGTTATGGGTGGATAGATTGATGGGTGGGTGGGTAGGTTATAGGTGGATAGATGGATGGGTGGGTAGGTTATAGGTGGATAGATGGATGGGTGGGTAGGTTATAGGTGGATAGATGGATGGGTGGGTAGGTTATAGGTGGACAGATGGATGGGTGGGTAGGTTATAGGTGGGTAGGTTATAGGTGGATAGATGGATGGGTGGGTAGGTTATGGGTGGATAGATGGATGGGTGGGTAGGTTATAGGTGGATAGATGGATGGGTGGGTAGGTTATTGGTGGATAGATGGATGGGTGGGTAGGTTATAGGTGGATAGATGGATGGGTGGGTAGGTTATGGGTGGATAGATGGATGGGTGGGTAGGTTATGGGTGGATAGATGGATGGGTGGGTAGGTTATAGGTGGATAGATGGATGGGTGGGTAGGTTATAGGTGGATAGATGGATGGGTGGGTAGGTTATGGGTGGGTAGGTTATAGGTGGATAGATGGATGGGTGGGTAGGTTATAGGTGGATAGATGGATGGGTGGGTAGGTCATAGGTGGATAGATGGATGGGTGGGTAGGTTATAGGTGGATAGATGGATGGGTGGGTAGGTTATAGGTGGATAGATGGATGGGTGGGTAGGTTATAGGTGGGTAGGTTATAGGTGGATAGATGGATGGGTGGGTAGGTTATGGGTAGATAGATGGATGGGTGGGTAGGTTATAGGTGGATAGATGGATGGGTGGGTAGGTTATTGGTGGATAGATGGATGGGTGGGTAGGTTATAGGTGGATAGATGGATGGGTGGGTAGGTTATGGGTGGATAGATGGATGGGTGGGTAGGTTATGGGTGGATAGATGGATGGGTGGGTAGGTTATAGGTGGATAGATGGATGGGTGGGTAGGTTATAGGTGGATAGATGGATGGGTGGGAGGTTATGGGTGGATAGATGGATGGGTGGGTAGGTTATAGGTGGATAGATGGATGGGTGGGTAGGTTATAGTCGGATAGATGGATGGGTGGGTAGGTCATAGGTGGATAGATGGATGGGTGGGTAGGTTATAGGTGGGTAGGTTATAGGTGGATAGATGGATGGGTGGGTAGGTTATAGGTGGATAGATGGATGGGTGGGTAGGGTATGGGTGGATAGATGGATGGGTGGGTAGGTTATAGGTGGATAGATGGATGGGTGGGTAGGTTATGGGTGGATAGATGGATGGGTGGGTAGGTTATGGGTGGATAGATGGATGGGTGGGTAGGTTATAGGTGGATAGATGGATGGGTGGGTAGGTTATAGGTGGATAGATGGATGGGTGGGTAGGTTATAGGTGGACAGATGGATGGGTGGGTAGGTTATAGGTGGGTAGGTTATAGGTGGATAGATGGATGGGTGGGTAGGTTATAGGTGGGTAGGTTATAGGTGGATAGATGGATGGGTGGGTAGGTTATGGGTGGATAGATGGATAGATGGATGGGTGGGTAGGTTATAGGTGGATAGATGGATGGGTGGGTAGGTTATAGGTGGATAGATGGATGGGTGGGTAGGTTATGGGTGGATAGATGGATGGGTGGGTAGGTTATAGGTGGATAGATGGATGGGTGGGTAGGTTATGGGTGGATAGATGGACGGGTGGGTAGGTTATAGGTGGATAGATGGATGGGTGGGTAGGTTATAGGTGGATAGATGGATGGGTGGGTAGGTTATAGGTGGATAGATGGATGGGTGGGTAGGTTATAGGTGGATAGATGGATGGGTGGGTAGGTTATAGGTGGATAGATGGATGGGTGGGTAGTTTATAGGTGGATAGATGATGGGTGGGTAGGTTATAGGTGGATAGATGGATGGGTGGGTAGGTTATGGGTGGATAGATGGATGGGTGGGTAGGTTATGGGTGGATAGATGGATGGGTGGGTAGGTTATAGGTGGATAGATGGATGGGTGGGTAGTTTATAGGTGGATAGATGATGGGTGGGTAGGTTATAGGTGGATAGATGGATGGGTGGGTAGGTTATGGGTGGATAGATGGATGGGTGGGTAGGTTATAGGTGGATAGATGGATGGGTGGGTAGGTTATAGGTGGATAGATGGATGGGTGGGTAGGTTATAGGTGGATAGATGGATGGGTGGGTAGGTTATAGGTGGATAGATGGATGGGTGGGTAGGTTATGGGTGGATAGATGGATGGGTGGGTAGGTTATAGGTGGATAGATGGATGGGTGGGTAGGTTATAGGTGGATAGATGGATGGGTGGGTAGGTTATAGGTGGGTAGGTTATGGGTGGATAGATGGATGGGTGGGTAGGTTATGGGTGGATAGATGGATGGGTGGGTAGGTTATAGGTGGATAGATGGATGGGTGGGTAGGTTATAGGTGGATAGATGGATGGGTGGGTAGGTTATAGGTGGATAGATGGATGGGTGGGTAGGTTATAGGTGGATAGATGGATGGGTGGGTAGGTTATAGTCGGATAGATGGATGGGTGGGTAGGTTATAGGTGGATAGATGGATGGGTGGGTAGGTTATAGGTGGGTAGGTTATAGGTGGATAGATGGATGGGTGGGTAGGTTATAGGTGGATAGATGGATGGGTGGATAGGTTATAGGTGGATAGATGGATGGGTGGGTAGGTTATGGGTGGGTGAGTGGGTTATTGGTGAATTGGTGGGAAAGTGATGGATGGATAGGTTGTTGGATGGAGTACATAAACACACTTGAGTAATTTATGGTTTATTTCAGATCCAGTTTGTTTATTTAAGCCTAAATGTAATGATTTTAATAGAGAATGTATGTCCTTATACTTGTTTCATAACAATTCTGTTTTCTATTTAAACAGAATAAATCTTTAATGTTGTTTTAAAGTGTGATCGGTCTTCCTCCCCTGGAAGTAAAGATGCAGGAAAGGAAGGTCCGCTAGCTGGTGATGATCTAAACAAGCAAGAAGCTTTCTATGAACCGTAAACAATAACAACGGCTTGTCTCATACATCTAGTTTATGGAAAATAAAGGAACCAGCAGCTAAGGCACATTCTGTGTAATGTAACCAGTTCTATAACCAGTTCTCTGGTGGTCGTGTGACTGTCGCTGGATACTGTATTGGATACACTTTGGTAGTACCAGGTCGGACCCCCTTTTGCCTTCAGACTCACGTTAATTCTTGGTGTCATGAATCCCAAACAGAACAGTCCCCTGCATCACTGTGGGTCAGAAGGTCATTAGAGACCCTAAGAAGAGCTGTTTCAGTAGAATGAGCTCTACAAAAACCTGACTGGAAGCTATCATAGATGTTATGTTGATCAAGAGCAGCTGTGAGTTGTTTAGCCACAACCTTTTCCAAGATCTTGAAGATGAACGGAAGTTTAGAGATGGGTCTGAAGCTGCTATGGAGAGAGGGGTCAAGACTCGGTTTTTTAAGAAGCGGGTGGATTACAGCATTCTTAAAGTAAGCAGGGACCTGACCAGAAACCAGAGAAGCATTAATTATGTAGAGCACGCTGGGACCGATGGACTGAAAAGCCAAGCATGATGTTGATGGGGGCATGTAGAGGTCTTCATAGAGTTTATAGAGAGGTGACTGTGAGTCCAGTGAATTCACGGTCATGTTCTAGAAACCAGTTAGAGATGATCTGAGCTTTGTGACACGGTGCATGGTCCTGCTAGAAGTAGCATCAGAAGAAGGGTCCATGTGGTTATAAAGGGGTGGACATGTCGGCAACAATACTTAGGTAGGACAAGACTGAGGTGGTGCTAAGTGGTCCAAGGTGGGACCCCAGCACCCCCCATGCCAACACCATTACACCAGCAGCAGCAGCCTGAAGCATTGCTATAAGTCAGGATGGATCCATGATTTCATCTTGGCAACACCAAATTCTGACCCGACCATCTGAACGTTGCAGCTGAAGCCCGGACTCGCCAGACCTGGAGAGGTTAGTCTCTTCTGTTCCAGTTCTGATGATCCCATGTGAATTGTAGCCTTCGTTTTCTGTTAGCTGTCAGGAGAGACACCTGGTGTGGTCTGCTGCTGGAGTCCATTAATGGAGCAGCTGTTGCCTTTCTATAATCTAAAACCAGTCTCTCCCCAAAATCAACATTAACCATTACATGTTTAAGTCTCCACTTCGATCTCAATTAGAACTTCAGCAAATTATCACCAAATACAGTGGACAGCAAGTGCACATTCAGACAAGTCTCACCTTACCTCCTCCAAGACCATGTCACTCTTTTTTGCACCAAGTAATGCAGCAATTTCCCAATGTTGTCATTTCCCACTCATATGGTGAGAAAACCTGATTCTGATTCTCAACCTCTGCAGTCCCCTCCGATGGGGTGGTTGTTATCACAGCCACAAGGTGGCAGTGTTGGCTAAAATGAATGCAAAAGTGACTTTTACTACTGAGGAGTTTTAAACCATAAGAAATCATTTATAGTTATACGGTTCATAAGGATAGTTTTACTGGAAAAAGTCAAGAGTTTAAGAAGACATTTAGAAAAGTGTGATTTTTCTAATGAGACTGACTTCTAATAATCCATTTAAAATAATAAATGTTCTCAGATTAAAAATATTAGTCTCCAAATAATTTATATTGACTCATAGCACTAAATAACTAACTCTGCTCTGCCGTTGTCCTCAGTGTTGTTGTTAGTTATTACTATGATGGGTTGTGTGTCTGAACAATAAAAACTTTAAACTATAAAAGGAAGTTTAACCCCACAAACATATAACTTGACACTTCGTTGGACACGTTTGAACATGACGTAATTCCGCAGCTGTTTCCCCAGAGAAGGCGTGGCTTGCTGAGGCATTGCGGCTCCCTCCCTCCTCTGTGCGTACGGAGGGAGGCGCGTGGACGCGCGTTTGCCTGCGCGTGTGCATGGCCTGGCAATAGCTGAGGCTGCACCGTGTGCGCGTGGGCCGACCCGGAGCTCTAGCATCCGGCCGAGCAGCGCAGAGATGCGAACATTTTTCACCTGAATGCGGAGAATGAGGTGGAGGTGAGCAGCTGAGGTTGTCGGTCCACTCGCCCGAACCGGGAGCTTACCCTCAGAGCAAACATAAACGCTGTTTGCTCGTGCTTTGTGATATTGATATTTTTGTGAGGAATCATGACGACGGGACAGGATGAGAGTTCGGTGCGTGTGGCGCTGAGGTGAGTCTCTTCTCCCATCATTAAATGTGCAGTTGTGTTAATAGCCCGGTGCCACCTGTCAGTCAGCGCCGCGGGCCTACCAAACACCTGCAGGTCATCACCAGCAGCTGCTCCAAACACACATTTATTACACACTTTAATCCTGGAAACTTCCGGTTTAAGGACGTTGTTTACGTGGTTGATGAATCTCAGGTCGGGTTAAGTGTAATAGACAGTAATAACAGCACCACGCCCAGGTGCGCACACACGGCCCATCCTGTGTGTGCTCCAGCCTGATGGTATCGGTTATAATGGCTCCGTTTCCACTGAGAAGGTGGGACAAAGACAGTGAGCCTGTGTTTGTCCACCTGCCCGGCCTCTGCTCAAAGCCTCCTGCAGAGAGACGGGTAATCGATGAAAGAGGAGCTTCACGGACAGCCAGGCCTCCAGGAGAGGAGCTGTCAGTGTCTGTCCATCTGTCACGTCAAGCCCGGTTCTGGGTTCAGCTAGTTCACAAAAGTAACTCACTCAGACCAGTTAATTATTCATCTCTTGCCTGATTGGATGTAATTATGGGCGCTGTCATGGTGATGAAGGCCACTTCCATCCAGCTGGTGAGGAGGCACACTGACAGTTGCATGATGGGAAGCCTCTCTCTTTGTTTTCTTTCTATTCATCACTGGGACACATTTTCCTGTCTTTTTGCTGTGTGTAAATATACCCCACCCCCCTTCCCCTGTCAACACACACACACACACACACACACACACACACACACACACACACACACACACACACACACACACACACACACACACACACACACACACACACACACACACACACACACACACCAGCCCATCATGTGCTCATTCCCTGTCCTGTGCACTTGTTCACTAGAGTGCATCATCAGTATGAAGCTTGTGTTTTCATGGGAAGGGGGACATTTGTGATGCTCTTGGAAGTGCTGGTGTATTGATGATTGGGCGCCACAACAAATATTCACCTATCAGGAGTTTTTGAGTAGAATGTTGAAATCAGGGAGTATTGATGTGTTTTACTTCTATTACAGAGTTCAGTGGTTCCCAACTTGGGGTCCCCTCAGTTTTGTCTGTGCTGAGGCTGTGAGGTTACCAAGATTATACTTGAAGAAATTACATTTGTAAAATCCCATTAAACACACCCAATAGTAGAAGTAAAACTCTGTATAACTGTTGTAACACATATAATGTTTCCAGTGAATTACTTCTTATGTGTCTATGCGGGTTGAGGCTGTGGTTGGGGGTCCTGTCTGGTCTTGGACACAGACAAGGGTGTTCTCAAGGAAAAATAATTGGTAACCACTGATATAGTTTTCATTGTGTGGGACAGTTGTTGCCTCATGGTGGAAAGGTTGCAGGTTTGAATCTCAGCTGTTGCCAAACTCTTACCCCTCCCATTTGCTAACATCCCTAGGCCACATCCCCTGATATGGGATTGCATGAAGCCAGAGAAAACACTAAACACCAGTGGCCGTTTGCTAGATCCAAGGGTCTTTTGTTGTCTGTGACTTCTATGGTGTTTTTCTCTTGTCCGAAAGTTGAAGTGGTAGCAGCCGTCTATTTCTCCTCTGATGTTTTTGACCAGCGAACCTCTCACACCGGTGGTGTTCTGGTGTTAAATACGTGTGTAATGAATGGAGGACCCAGGAAAGTCTGGTGGTTTGGTGAGACAGAAAACCCGATGGTCTAATAGTTTTTATTTACCTTTTTTTTTTTACCTTTTTTTTTGACTGAGCCATGTCATTGGCTGAGCTTACACAAATGTGAGAACCACATCATCATTAGCTTTTTTTTTCTTGTCTGCAAAAGTTATTTATAGGGACATTTTATTGGGGAAGTATCTAAATTTAGCGTAGAAAATTACATTTTTTTGGCACCAGTGGAACAAGGGGGTGTGGTGGTTAGTTTAGTGGCTCTGGCTGGCTGCTCTCACTGGGAGTATTGGAGCAATGGCAGCCAGCCTGTTTGGACTGTACCAATTTTAAAAAAGGGTGATCATCATCCAAACGACTGAAACACAGTGTTTTGCAAGTTTAAATTTTTATTGTTTGTGCTCTGCTTTTATTGGACAATACCATTACTAAATATGTATACATGCTAATGGCTAAACTACTTTAGATTGTTGTTCAGAGGCATGAAGAAAAAGGCCTTCAGCTAGCTTGTTTTACCAATTGTAGCTTCAACTTGTCCATAAATTACCAGTGTTTGTTTATCAAAGTCAGCTGCTTAAGAACCCATATGTGTGTGTATGCCTACTTGGGTTAGTTTCCCAGGTGGGTGTGTGTGTGTGTGTGTGTGTGTGTGTGTGTGTGTGTGTGTGACATGTACATACTGGGTGGGTTTCATTGTGCATGAGAAGCTTTAAAAGGAACTCCGGCTATGAGGATGTGTGTGCCCTAATAAGCCACAATTTTCTGTTGTACCAAACTTGTTATAAACACACAAAATATTGCTGTTTATTTATAAATCTGTAATATCTAGTACATTTTTGACATGCGTAAGACGCCATGTTTTCCACACACAATGCACTCTGGGGGTGATGTCGTATTTTGGTTGCTCTTGGAAGAACAGCTATAGACGTTGGTGTTTGTTTACGCGCTCACCGTATTAATAATGAAGTAAAATGCTGCATTGTGCTGCTTTTGGATGTAATTTCCAGTCAGAGGGCAACAAGGGGAGTGATGTGAGTTTACAGCTTTCCCACTGACAGGAAGAGGAGAAAGCAGTGGGAAGATGCCTGTGGACGGACACAACTTCCCAAAGATCCGCAGCGGTGTTCCCAACATTTTCTCCTGATGCGTTTGAGGCTTATAGTCGACCACAACTACTTAAAGATCTCACCAGAGCCGCTGGGTATAAGAGAGGGCAGAAACTAAATGCTTTACCGACCATTTTCCCACACAAGGAACCTAAACGCCATCGGAGAGACGCTGGACGCTCTCCTGAGCCGACAACCCGCTCCTGCAGCTGCCGCTTCTGTCACGTTTAGCCAACCATCGGACACGCCACTCGTCACGGATGAAGCTGAACATTCACCTCTCCCGTCAGTAAAACAAGCAGTAAGTGTAGCAACAGTGTTCTCCACATATATAATACCTGCAACAATGATTCAAGTGGTTTCACTGAATATCCTAATCATCTATAAAGCACACGACAGCTCTGGATGCTGAAATTCTCCTAAATCATTCATCATTGAATAAGTTTGATCACACAAAGTGAAGAGAGTGAAGAGAGGAGCGGAGCTGTCAACTGATCACCACCTGGTGGTGAGTTGGATCAGATGGCAGGGGAAGATGCCACGTAGACCTGGCAGACCCAAACACATAGTGAGGGTCTGCTGGGAACGCCTGGCAGAAGAACCTTTCAAGACGGTCTTCAACTCCCACCTCCGGCAGAGCTTTGACCGCGTCCCGAGAGCAGTGGGGGACATTGATTTCGAGTGGGCCTTGTTCCACTCTGCGATTGTTGAGGTGGCTGTTGCTAGCTGTGGCCACAAGGTGGCCAGTGCCAGTCGTGGTGGCAACCCCTGTACCCGCTGGTGGACACCAGAGGTTTGGGGAGCCATCAGGCTGAAGAAGGAGGCCTACAGGGCGTGGCTGGTCTGTGGGTCTCCGGAGGCAGCAGACAGGTACCGGATAGCCAATCGGGGTGCAGCAGTGGCGGTTGCCGAGGCAAGATCTCAGGTGTGGGAGGAGTTTGGTGAGGCCATGGAGAAAGGCTATCGATCGGTACCAAAGAGGTTCTGGCAAACTGTCTGGCGCCTCAGGAGAGGAAGGCAGCAACTCGCTCACACTGTTTACAGTGGGGATGGGGAGCTGCTGATGTCAACTGGGGCTATAGTCGGACGGTGGAAGGAATACTTTGAGGAGCTCCTCAATCCCACCTATGCGCATTCCGAGGAGGAACCAGAGCCGGGAGACCTGAGGATGTACTGTCCAATCTCTGGGGCAGAAGTTGCTGAGGTAGTCAAACAACTACACAGCGGCGGAGTCCCGGGGACGGATGAGATTCGTCCTGGGTATCTCAAGGCTATGGATGTTGAAGGGCTGTCGTGGTTGACATTGCATGGACATCGGGGGCAGTTCCTGTGGAGTGGCAGACCGGGGTGGTGGTCCCCATCTTTAAGAAGCGTGACCTGAGGGTGTGTTCCAACTATAGGGGGATTACACTCCTCAGCCTCCCTGGAAAGGTCTACTCCAAGGTACTGGAGAGGAGGGTCCGATCGATAGTTGAATCTCAGATTGAGGAGGAGCAATGTGGTTTTCGTCCTGGCCGTGGAACTGTGGACCAGCTCTATACCCTTGCAAGGGTGATGGAGGGGGCATGGGAGTTTTGTCGCCAAAAAGGTCAAGAGGTCATCTACAACATATATTGAGCTGAATTGTGAGTCCTTAGGTTAAAAGCTTACTGAGATTGAAGGTGCCAAAAGCTGTTTCAGTGTGTGTGCAGTTTAACATGCTGTTTTTCAGTCCAGCTTATGTAACTTCCAGTAAACCTTGAGTTCTCGGATACTATTGGGTAATAGAGATAACAGGGCTCGTTGACCTCTGGGCTGGAGGGCGCATTGACCATATTGGGAAGTGAAAACATCACCCCATCCAAAGTCAAAGGACTGTGGGAGTAACGCCAGGGATCAGTATAAATTTAGGACTCCACATTTGGTCGAGGTCTTTTTGTCTTTGGCTGTCCTGAGCTGTGAGCAGATTAATAAAAAGACCACGCTGTCTGACTGAGAACTCCGTCTCCGACTCCTTCTTTAAGAATAACAGAAAATGCCCACAGGAGGTTGCCCAGTCGGACCTGTTCCCGGTGAGGGTTGGACTCCGCCAGGGCTGCCCTTTGTCACTGGTTCTGTTCATTACCTTTATGGACAGAATTTCTAGGCGCAGCCGTGGTGTGGAGTCTGTTGAGTTTGGTGGCAGGAGAATCTCGTCTCTGCTTTTTGCGGATGATGTGGTCCTCCTAGCTTCATCCAGCTCT